CAGCAGAAACAGCAACCTCTGGTGTTAACAATCTAGTCTCCAATCTCACGCTTCACATTTCCCTGGCAAACAAGGCTAAAAATACAAGACAGGCAACAAATAGTCTCTTGGGATCTGCCATTCCATGGATGGCGTATTCAATCAGAGCAATATTTTGTGCTGAAATTCAAAATTGGGGGTGGGGGGGCACGCTATCACATTAGAAGCTGGCGCTCGGAATTTTAAGTGTGAATCTGATCCCAAAGTATATTAAGCTGAATGGTGAGAGGGTGGCTGTTTCCATACAACATAAATCTCTGAGATGTAGCTGAATACATTTATAGATTTATTTAAGCTCCTCTAAATTCTTCTGCAAATCTCATAGTTAGAAAGATAATTTTAGCCCTCATGGCACCAAAATATCAGAGCCGTTTTGCTTTCGGCACAGTTTAGAAAAGCCTCTTTACCGTGGGCTCTGGAGCGGGGCTGCGTGGGTTCAAATCCAGGCACCGCCACAGACTAAACTCCGTGGCGTTGAGCAAGGAATCTGACCTCTCGGTGAAGTTGTTCTCCTGTCTTCAACAGAAAAATCTTAAGAGTGCTCACCTCAAAGAGTTATTTTAAGCATTCTAGGAGTTAACACGTGCAAAACTGTTTAGAGTAATTAACAAATGTGCGGATGCATGCTCTGTCGCTTAGTGTCCAACTCTTTCAGACCCCACGGACTGTAGCCCACCAGGCTCCTCTGTCCATGGGATTCTCCAGACCAAGAACACAGGAGGGGTTGCCATTTCCTCCTCCAGGGGATCATCCCCGCCCCAGGGATCAAACCCACATCTCCTGCATTGGCAGGAGGATTCTTTACCACTGAGCCACCAAGGAAGCCCGTATATACAGTCACTATTAGTATTATTTAATATTCAAGCAAGACTGCAAAAACACTCTCTCTTGAACAGGCATGATATAAAGAGTAGGAGCAACACAATGATAGGTCTCCTGCCTGCTGGGCACTGGATAACTAGTGGGTGAGCAGGTAAGTGCCTTTACCTAGAGCGTGAGGCCAAGAATGACAGGAGAAAGCCCCCTTTGGTTATTCGAGGCTGCTTGTTCCTGAAGGCAGCTGAATGAGGAGGACAGAAGAACAGACAATAACGCAGTAAGTCAAGTGGTACTGCCTAGTGAACGGGACAATCAGAATTCATGGCAAAGGTGTAACAAGAAGGGGGGCATGTGCTGGCTCTGTGAACACCTGTGTCTGCCCATTAAGAAGATATCCTGTAACACCACCACCTTCCTTAAGAGGATGTCATGGAATAAATCTCTCTTGGTCCACCTGTCTTTGGGATTAGACTATAACACCCATGGTCTGGGTCCCCAACCTCCATATTTAAAACAGAAGACAGACCCAAGGAAGTGATATCAAATTCCATCAACTCCTGAACAGGCTATTTCTTGAGAAACCTTGAAAGCTGACAATATTTTAAGTTGGGCCCTTATTTGGTGGAAGGAGGATGGTGAAAAGTTTATGGGTCATTGAGGCAATAGGAAAGGGTTTCCCCAACTACTGGGACAGCAGGGTATGGACCTACCAGTCCCACTTAGAGAGTTTTGATGGAATTCACTGAGGACTCCTGCAGTTCCACAGGTTTTCCCAGCCTGCAGGGTACCACTTAAAAAACCACAGACAGGTCGTTCAAAGAGAGGAAGAATGGAAGGCTGACATTACTATTTTCCTAGTAAGAATATTTAAAAAAAAAAAAAAAAGGTGACAGGCGCTGCTATTATATGGCCAGGTAAAAACAATGAAATTTCTTAACAACTGAGATACTTACAGAGATTTCCTGAGCAGAACCCTTTGTTGGGTAGAAAAAGAATGTGTCACTGGACTGCTCAGACTAAGAGCAGAGTCACAAAAAGAAAAGCCCATCAAGAAATTGGGAGAAAAGGCTCTTTTTTCATAGCCCTCTGTGGAGGGGCAGATTTTGGAGGAAAAAGCAGCAGAATGTAGGGCAGGGGAGGCAATAATAATGTTCGTTAAGGAGAAAGTGAATATAGATTTAAAACTGTAGGAATGAGGGAGGTAAATGGATTTAAGTATGCACAAACCACATGACCTACTGTGCCCAGAAAGTAGACGTGTATTTCTCTTGCCCTTAATGCATTGCTATGGTTACGGTAAGGAAGATTGCACTGTCCAGAAAAATTTTTAAAAGAAGAAACTGGGTGAAAGTATAGCCTATCTGAGATCATCTTCCTCCCTGCCTTCAGACTGGGATCTCGTAAGTACAGTATCTAACAGAGGAATTACAACCAGATCAACAGCGGTGCTCCTTTTTTTCAAAGAACAAAAACAAATCAGTGTGACAGCATGATGGGGATTCAATTAGCACTTGGCAGGTCATGAATAACTTTTAAACCACCTTCTTTTAAGTTGGAAAGTGTTAAAATATACGGTAATCATGGTACCCAAGTGCCTTCCTTACAGTATGCTACCCATCAGGAACATAAATCTGAAGAAGTCAGTCTAGCTTACAAAGAAGAGAACCAGAACGTAGTTTCTTCAGGCAGTCTGTTGCCCCAAGTATTTTCCTCTTTGAGGACATTCAAAGCCAATCATCTGAAATCTCATTCCAATTTTCAGACGGTTTTACTTTAAATACGGAGTGAAAGAAAAGGGGAGGGAAAGGAGTTGGTACAATCATCTTGGAAACAAATAAATGATAGCTAATTGTAAAGAAATGGCTACTAATAACCAATAGTATTATACAGTCAAAAACAACAGCATGTTGGTTTAGGGAAAGCAGAGTAGCTTAGCTCAAAACAATGTGAAAAGAACAAAAAAAAAAACTATTTACTTGGATAAGTAAGAAAAACATGAGGCCAACCCCAGAGATACCCCTTAGCAAAAACATCCCCAGGGGGACCTCATCTTGCTTTCAATGAAGGGGCACCTTCCTGGGCTGGGAGAACTGAAGTAACACTGAAACCCACCCTTTGTTCTGAAAAACTCTTAATTGTGCCCACCTGGCCCAAGTCAGGCGCATGGGGCTTCGCAGATTTTGCAGCCTGTTTACTGCCCATTTCTTGGGGAATCTCTGACAGGTGATAAAGGTAATGGGCTTGCTGCCCCAGCAAGTAAAATATTACAAGGGAAATATTAGGCAGATGGACAGCTCCACCCCATGTGTCTTCAACATTACTATGATCTGCGCAAGACATTTATTGTAAATAAGCCTGCAGGGTGTACAGTATGTTTTCCAGGAGTCCTCCGAAGAACAGCTTGCCGACAAGAGGTGCTAGCCTTAGTTTCACAGCCAGCAAAACTCCATCCAAGAGGCTTTTTGGCAGGTCCGCACCTCTTGTCTCAAGCTAGATTCAAGACAGACCCATCAACCAAATTCCAAAGGTCAGTATGTGGCATCAGTCACTCTTAGGTACTCAGCATAGAATAGCAAGTGGAAACTCAGACATTTAAAATTAACATTCAGGACAGAAAAGGCCCGCTTTCCCCCAGAACAGTGTATTAAAAACAACTCAGAGCTGACTTTGCAAGGAGGCAATCTCCGTAGTAAATTAAATGGCTGAAGCTTGTGCTTCTTCCAGCAAGGAAAAGAACTATGCTCCCCACCACCAGTGTGTGCAATCACGGGCTCATTTTTTAAGCCTTTCCTGCTTTTTAAAAAGCCTACTCCATTAAAAGGGGGGGGGATCTTTTCAGGAAATGAAATGCAAACAGTCACTGAACAGGATCATAAAAGGGGAAAAACCTCTATCTTTTTTTTTTTTTAACTCTTCATTCCAGGCAGCAAGACTGCTTTTAACACACCGTTAGCTTTTATAAAAAATGAGATGATACTGGTTCTTTTATGATCATCCTCAACTCCTTCCACCCTTTTCTGTCTCCCGGCTACTCACTCTATGTTCCAGGGAAATGAGGTGGGCAGGTCAGTTTCACCTCTCGCCAGACCAGCGTTAGGTAAATCACTGAATGTAATTTACAAATTCTAAGCCTAATGGATGACACCCAGGAAAAAAAGAAAGGTAAAGAAGAGTGGGAAGGAGAAGCTTCCTGGTGATTTCAAAGGTAAAAGGCACAGTCCTCAAGCTATGCGTAACACTGCCTCTGATCACCTTCAAACAAGTCCGCGGGTTTTAAGTTGATGCTCCCCGTCCTCGCTCAAGGTGGAGCTGAAACCAGTTGCGAAATTTCCCTCTGCTGGAGTCCAGAGGAGCCAGGGAAAATGGGGTCTACGTTCCTAAGTAGAAAGCAGCAGCGGCTTCCCTGCCGCTCAGGGGCCCCGCGCTGGCGAGCTCCCGGGCAGGAGCGGGCACCCGGCTGGGAGACGAGACGCTGGGTGACCGGCCTCGGGCCAACTGCGAACCCGGCTGGGCACTGCAGGCGCAGTTACGCGCGGCCCGCGCACGCAGCTTTCCCGGGCACACGGCGGCCTTCTCGAAAGCAAGCCCAGTGCTGCCCACGACCTCGGGCTGGTGTCGCCCGAGGCGTGTCGAGCTTCGCGGACCTCAACCTGGGTGCTGCTCCCCAAAGGGAAAAGGCGCGATCTCCATTCAAGCCCACCCTACCGAGTCTCCCAGTACCCGGTCCCTTCACCCCAGGAGCTCTCGGACACCCCTCGGGGCGCCCACCCGAGAACGGGTTCGCTTCGAAAGGAAGTGGAGTGGACTCGAGAGAACGAGACTGGAGTAAAGAGAACTGGGGACTCCAGTCTGCAGCAATTGGGGAGGGCTCGGAAAAGGGAGCAAGCGAAGAGAATCAAGGCAGGGTAGGGGCCCCGCGGTCCCAACAACCTGTAGGATTGCAGCTGATCGCAAACTTGGGGTGGGAGACAGACAGTGGTCCCCTCGGAGGTCCTCCACCCGAGAGCCACCCCTTGCGCTCCGCGCGCGCGGGGAGGTGCAGGGCGCAACTTGGAAAGCCAAGGCCATAGGTTGAGGGTCCGATCGGTCGCGTTCCCCCCGGCCCCCGCCCGGCTCCGCCGCCCGCTCGGCCCCGCACTTACCTCGGGCAGCCGCAGCCCCCGCCGCCCAGAAGCAGAGCCCCAGCCAAGGGAGCCACTGGCGCGCCCCTCCAGCGCCTCTTCCTGCGGCAGCCGCTCTCCCCATGGTGCTCGCCCCGCTCAGGAGAACAGGTCCTCTTCCGCGCCCCGGGAGAGGCTCGGGGGCCGAGGAGAGTGGGTCCCGGGGGTCTTCAGCGAGTGACTGCTCCACGGCCGCTCCCTACAGCAGCGGGGCAGGGCGCTCCGAGCCGCCGCGCGCTGGGCACCCAGAGGATGCGTGCGTCCCCATAGCCTCCCACGGCGGGGCGACCGACGCCGCCACGGTCACTGCCGGAGTCGCCCGCCTTCCCCTCCGCACCGCTCACGAGCAGCTCTCCCGCCGCCGCCGGGATCCGGACTAGGGAGGTAAGGAGGGAACCCGCATCCCTAATGAGACCCCCGTGGCCGCCCCTTCTCCTCCCCTCCGAGCGTCAGCCAATGAGCCGGGCCGGGGCGGGGCGGCGGCGGCCGGCCGCTCGGCGCTGGGTGGGGTAGGCGGCGGGAGGCGCAGGTGAGCCCCGCGGCGGCTGCGCTCACCCCCCTGCCCCGCCCCAGGTTCCCGCTCGTTCCGCAAAAAAAGCCTCCACTCAGCGAGCGCGGACGCCGTGCCTGAGAGGGGCTCGCGGAGGTCACGCGCGCTCCAAAGATGTGCGCAGAGCCGGTGGGCCTCTTGGAGGCGAACCCGGTGCAGAAGGATGTGGGCATTTCGGCAGCCTGAGTCTCCTGCTTCCTGGAAACCACTGTTTTGTTCAACTTTGAGCCCTTTCGCAGCCCTGCCTCTCTAGCTTCCATTTTTTTAAATCAAATCAGGCAACACTCTTGAAGCATTCAAAAAAAAAAAAAGACTCAAATGCCAAGTGGGAAAAAAAATATCACTGGAATAAACCCATTATTGCAGCTAGGCGAAATATGCAAGGATGTACAGAAAGCGGTGGGGGATCCTGGGTGCACCCGGAGGATGTGATCGAGTTTTCTTTTTTTTTTCTCCCCAATTTCCTTGTCTGTGGTTCTAATCACCCTGGAATCCCCGCAACTTTTCAGAAAGCTACCTCGTTTCTGACAGCTCCTGTTTTGTTTTAATCTGGGCCCTGGCAATTGCCTTTCTCATAAGCATCAGGGAAAGGCAGTCGTGCTGGGCCTTTGTAAGAAGGAAAGAAGACTTTTCTTAAAAGTGTGGTTTGTTTTGAATAGACTGTCAAATCTTTATTTAACTGCTTTTGAAAGTACCTTGTGGTTGCCTCGTATTCTCCCTCCTGCAGAAGGAGTCATTTGAGAGACACAGCCTTAGGCCACACAGTTTCAGAGCAAAGAACGCCCCTGGGGGTTTGGCCCTGAATTCAAGGCTCCATAGGCAGCGCAGAGCATTCTCTTGCAGTATTGAGCCCCCTGAATGGTGTCTAAACTCAGCTGGTCAGAATGTGTCCCCTTTTGCCTGGTGGACCCAACAGAAAATGAAGTCTTGGTTTGAAAGAAAAAGTTCCCAGCGGCTCCCCACTGCCCACATCCAACATCGATACAGTACTTTTAAAAAATCCATCTCTCTGGTCAAGTTGTTACCTGCTTCCAAACACCTTTCTCGGGAGAATAAACAGGTTAAAGTGAGGTAATTGTTCTGGATGAGGTAATTGCAATAAATAGCTTTCTTCCGAGGAAAAAGAGGATGATAGGCAGAAAGATTGATTCCTTGATAAGCACGCACACCATTCCTCCCCGGAGCGCCACCAGACACGTGACCGTCAGCAATCTCTTCCTCACGTCTTCTTGCCGCTCAATAAAAGGTTTGGGACCCGGTCAAGAAAACCAAGCTCTGGGGAATGAAGGCTTTGGAACAAAGACTGATGTGGGACTGGCCAGGGACTCGCCTGCAAATCTCTTTAGAATCTTGGTAAATGAGGATTTTGTCCTTTTCCTCTGAGAAGGTGAATTGGGGATTAATCTACCAAATATGCTTTACCTGTCTCCTGGAAAATAGTCATTCATCCTCCAACTTTCCTTATTCTTCAAGACTATGTGACAGGTATATCACAAATGAGTATTTTCTTTAAAAAAAAGAAAGAAAAAGGAATGACTGTTTCTCTGAGATAGTATTTAAGTACTACTGACTTCAAAGGGGTGCAAAAGTATAATAATTTTATTTTGAAAAAATATCTAGGAAATAGATGAGCTAATAAGATTAACAGGTGAGATTAATAAGTCAAGTTAAATTGGGATCACAATTAAGAGAGGAGGGAAACTAAGAATCTTTGAGTGCATACCCTGCTCAGTATATGTATATTACATACAGACGTGGATATATATTTGTTGTATATAAATATATATTCTATATTTTTGGTTTTGTTGTTTCAGAAAAGAACCAAACTCTGGAAATCAGGTACTGTTATCCCTGTTGGGCAGATAGTCAGGCTGAGTAGAGAGTGATTTGCTCAAGGTCACATAATGTGACTCAGCTGGCAAAGAATTGGTCCGCAATGCAGGAGATCTGGGTTCAATCCCTGGGTTGGGAAGATTCCCCTGGGGAAGGAAAAGGCTACCCACTCCAGTATTCTGGCCTGGAGAGTTCAATGGACTATATGGACCATGGGGTCACAAAGAGTCGGACACGACTGAGCGACTTTCACTCACTCACTCATATGACCAAGTGGCTGACCATCAAGAATGAGGCACCAGTTTGAACAATTCTAAACCCAAGATAAAGCTTGAGGTTGTGTCCAGTCTGTCAGTTTTACCAGACACAGACCTTCCTCCTCATCTTCTTCAATACTGTTTGACTATTGGGTTGGGAGAGGTGAGGTCATCAGTATTATGACACATCACAGACCATGTATTCATTTTAGGTCCTGTATTAATCATGTTCTACATCTCAATACACCCTCTGTTAATCTAACTCTGGCTATTTTATAAGATGCATGAATCGTACTCCATTCCATTTGGAGAACCATCCATACGCATTGGGAGAAGTACATTGAGCGGTCACTACTTAAGATCACTGTCTCTGGCTGAGGTGCAGCATGGAAGACCTGACCTGAGAATCAGGACGCCAGGGTGCTGAGCCCTGACACTGCCAGGGACTGACTGTGTGGCCAGAGGCAAGTCAGCCGCCCCTGTTGTCCGTTTCTTCATCTGTAAAATGGGGCTATTTCACTAGATGAGCTTAAGATCAACCCTACTGAAGATCCATCATTTTCAACTCTAGCATATCGTGATCTTGAATGCTCAGTACAATCAAGTTGGAAATTAAGCCACTTCTTCTGAAACTGGGACAATTATGTAGCAAATGCGTTGTGTTCTAGAGAAATTATTTTGGGTCATAGCCGATCTATAAGTATTAGCTGTAACCAAGGAATATTCATTTAATGAATAGGCTTAGGAAAATGTTTTTCTCCATTTTTGTTGCTCAAATTGAATATGACTATTTTCTAGCAGTTGATACCTAGAGATAAAGAGGTAGAGTATTTCTACTTCCATTGCCTGTTTTATTGCAGTATAATTGACATATAACATTATATGAGTTTCAGGTGTACAAAACAATGATTTGCTATTTGTATGTATTATGACATGATCACCACAATAAGTCAACTTTTGTCACCTTACATAGTTCGATCTTTTTTCTTGTGATAAGAACATTTAAGATCTACTCTCAGCAAATTTCACATAAGAAAAACAGTATTTTTAACTACAGTCACAATGCTATACTATACATACATCCCCAGGAATTATTTATTTTATAACTGGAAGTGTGTACCTTCCAATCCCATCCACCCATTTCACCTGGCCCCCACCCCCAACCTCTGGCAAATACCAATCTGTCCTCTGTATGTGTGAGTTTGGTTCATTTTGTTCTTTGTTTTTGTTTTGGATCGCACATTTAAGTGAGAACATACAGTACTTTTTCTCCTTCTGACTTACCTCACTTAGCATAATGCCCTTCAGGTCCATTCTTATTGTTGCAAGTGGTAGGATTTCCTTCTTTCTTTGCAGACTTTTGATTATCTCTAGCCAAACTAGTCTCAAAAAATAGAAAATATTTGAGTGTAATTTGGAGGAGAAAATAGAGAGATTTTGCATGGCAAGATATGCCCTTCCAAATATAATAAATGAGTTTTAAGTGTTAATTATAACTCCTTAGGAAAGACTGTGTAGTTGCCTGGAAAAAAAAAAGTTTAAATGATCTAACCCACCTGTTTGGTAGAAGTGGTAAAACTCCAAAGAACATTAAATAAAGTAGAGATATTCTGCAAGAGTAAGAGGTGGGACTTCACAGGTGGTCCAATAGTTAAGATTTCACCTCCCAATGCAGGGGATTGGGTTGGACCCCTGATTGGGGGTTAAGATATCACATGCCTCGTGGCTGAAAAACCAAAACATAAAGCAGAAGCAATATTGTAATAAATTCAATAAAGACTTTTTAAAAAATGGTCCATAACAAAAAAAAAAACCCGCAATAATAATAATCTTAAAAAAAAAAAAACCAAGAGTAAGGGAAAGAACTTGTTCCAGGAGATGGAGAGGGAAAAAGAAGCCAAGGGGTGAGTGGAAAGCCATGCCTACCAACACATGGCTTTTCTTCTGGGAGATCAAAATCATCAGGAAAGTTATGGAGGCGAGTGAATTCTTTATGTAAAAGAGCAAAGGGACTATAGTTTGGATCTAAATTACTAAAGACAAAACACACTCAGGAGAGGAAGGCCCTTAGATGAGGAAGATTTCAGAAAGTCTGGAGACATTGTGGGGCCTCCCTAACAATAGAACTGGATTATTTTAGGAGCAGGAGGTGCCTGCTGAAAATCTGAACAAAAGCCAGGTGTCAGAAGTCAGTGAGATCAAGACCTTTGGGAATAAAACTCAGCTGTAGCTGAGGAGACGAAGAAGATGTGTTTAGGAATATTGGGGGAAAACTTAAAGGGAAAAGAGCAGAAAAGAACTCCCCCGCATAGTGGTACCTCTTGCTTTACTTTCGGGACTGAATAGGCAGCTTTAGTCACAACTGCTGTCAGAATCTTTCTTAATGTTTCTAGGGCCTTTGCAGGCTACACACAGATCTTTTCCTAAGCATGCACCATAGAGAGGCAGTCTTTCCACATCTGTGGCTTTCCTCCTCCAGGAGCCTGACCACTATTTCTCATTTCTCGACCCAAGTGTTTATAAGCTCTGCTACTGCCGGATGTTTCTGATAAAAGCCCCTGTCTCTATTCATCACACAGTTATGATCATTAATAGGGGAAGACCTGAAATCAACAGATGAAAGAGCAACAGCTGGCGACTGCAAGGGGTAAACTTGGCAATACAATTAAATGAGATAGTCTGCGAGCAGTATTGCCATTGGGAATAGTCGGTGTCAGTCATTTCCCCAGAAAGGTCTTGTTCAATCAGAGCAGCGTATTTCAGAAATGCACGTGACTTACAGAGAGCAGACAGGATTTCATTCACCACTCTGGGCTCACAACCTGCTTATGATTCAGAAAACTGCTGGAACAGGGGGAGAAAAGGATGCTGAGAGCTGGGGAGGCCTGAGTGCTCCCCATATGATGTTCTGTCTGGGTACAATAATGCAGGTTAACAACCTTCCCTGGTAAAGGCAATATGGGATCGTTTGTTAAGGAGACTCTCTCACACACACAAAATTAGAGAAGGTCTGTTTTGGATATTGGGCTACGAGGCAGCAATAAAGTGCAGAAATCCAATGCATTTGTTTAGAAAGGGCAGTG